CTCTCTATGTGTCTCTCCCTCTCTCTCTCTGTCTCTGTTTGCCTCTGTCTCTCTCCCTCTCTTGTTCTCTTCCCCGTCTCTCTCTCTCTCTCTCTCTCACTGTCTCTCTCCTTCTCTCCTCCCCTCTCTCTGTTGCTCTCTCTCTCTCCCTCCTTCTCTCTCCCTCACTCTGTCTCTCTCTATCTGCCTATCTCTCTCTCCCTCTCGCATTCTCTCCTTCACTCTCTTACTCCTTCTCTCCTTCCACCTCTCTCTTTCCCTTATTCTTCCTCTCTCACAGTCACACGCCATTCCATGTGCTTCCCTCCTTTTCTCTCTCTTCCTCTCTCTCTATCTATCTCCTTCTCTCCTTCTCTCTACCCCTCTCTCCTCTCTCTATGTCTTCCTCTCTCTATCTCTATCTGTCTGCCTCTGTCTCTCTCCCTCTCGCTTTCTCTTCCCTGTCTCTCTCTCACTGTCTCTCTCCTTCTCTCCTCCCTCTCTCCCTCCCTCTTTCTCTCCCTCTTTCTCTCCACACACGACCAATGGCCTCCTTTGTTTAGATGTAATTTATTATCACACAGAGCAGGAATGTGATTTTCTTGCCAGTATTTAATTACTAAACTTTGCTCCAAAACTTCCAGACAATGTCACTCTCGGGTCTCGCACAGTTCATTATGAAAATACTCTGGCGTTTTCTGACCCGCGATGGATGGAGGGATCTGTACGGAGGGGTCTGGATGGAGGGATCTGGGCGGAGGGGTCTGGATGGAGGGATCTGGGCGGAGGGGTCTGGGGCAGCTGGTTCACAAACTGTAGCTTTTAATGGAGTGGCCACAAAGTTTTACAGTACCACGAGTGAGACATTGGAAGCAACTGTACATTTTTGCTGCTAATGATAAAATAACATGGGGTGGAAATGACCTCAATATGGTCAACATTTGAGGCTTGCTCTACAGTGAGTTTTTGTTTTTGTTTATACGCGACGTTGACAGGTTGTAAATGGAGGATGGTGAATGTTTTGTCAAATATGCAACATTTTCTGCAAGTTTTGGTCAAAATTTCTGAGAATTTTTTACCTCAGCCTTCTTGTAATTGCCGTCAGCCAGTGTTTTAAGTAATACTCAATACTCAGTACAGATTCTGATGCCATGTTTTTCATTAAAAACACTTTCCTTAAGAAATAGAATGCGATTTTTCAACATTAAACAGTACTTTTGTTTATATTACCATGTGGTCTTATATCTGTGTGATCTCTCAGTGGTCCAGGGAGGTTCCACAGTCCAAATATGTCACCATGTTTAACCAAATAACATTTTTTTACATTAAGGGATTGTTGGTTTAACTCTTGGTCTAACTCTTGCCTTTGAACTTCAAATGAATTGTTTGAAATGAATTTGTATGTATAGTAAGTGTGCTTTTTTTAATGTACTTTTGTGTGATCGTTGCTCTACTTTTCCCTGTCCGGTAGATGATTTCACATCAACCTCCAGGGACTGAGGATGGAAATTAGTCACACTGGCTATAATCTTTACATATTTACATTTTTAAAGTTTGTTAATATGTGCTGTCCCTTTACAAATAAATAAATAAGAAATAAGAACAGTGGTCCATGGGCTCTTATACTTGTTCTGATACAACTCAAGATCATTCTAAAGCTATTCACGAAAGGTTTAGCTCATTTTTGTCTTGTGAATGTGACTTTTTAGTATTGATATTTGCTCAAATGATTATCTAGTTTAAATGTTATTAGTATATGTGATTAGTATCTGAACTAAGAGCCCTTAAACTTTTCAAAATGTGGTACGTGCACAACTGGTCTTCTGCAGTTTTAGCATTTGCTTGAGTCAGTTTTATTCACATATTTGCCCTCCTTTGGTTAAGATCTTGGAACAGTCTCGCTCTCCACATCAGAGCTGGACAATCTCTTGAGCCATTTAAAACCTACTAAAGTCTTATATCTATTCACTGGCGTTTAACACTATTTGAGCAGATACCACGGGCAATATATGAACATTAACGCAGGATTGAAATCTTGGTTATAACCCGTGTAGAAATGGTATGGTCCATTATAAGCCTGGTTTAGCCCTAAATTAGACTTGAAATAGCCCCGTTATAGACCTGGTTTAGATCTGGTGGTACTTGAAAAGAGTATTTTTTGTGTGAAAAGATTGAGAAACTAGTTAGGGAAATAGACCAAACCAATAAACTGTGTGTATCAACATTCTCTGGGAGGCTGATTCTAACTGAAGGTACTACTCAATCTGAAGCTCTGTTACTCAAGTTAGACTTTAATCTGAGCTTTCTTTCAACACAATCTGACCAGAGAGAATTGATTTAGTTGGAACTACAATAGATGAGATGATTTGTGCTCTTAAAGAAGTCTCTCACATATAAATTAATACATTAACAACCTAAATCAAACAACTAAACATAACTATAAACACATGCATTGATCACAGGTTCTTAAAAATGTGCTGTTTTAATCCATTCAGTAATTTTTTTCTTCAGTTTTCAGACTATTTTAAAACTTTTCAGCAGTGTTTACTTTCTAAAGTGTGCATTGTGCCTTCCTGGTGACTACATGTAGAACAGTCTGTCCCGGGGCAGCTGTGGCTATGGTGGCAATAGAAGCAGACCACCAGCTCCGAGTACGAGTAACGAATGAAAAACACGTGCACTTGAGATTCTACTTTAAACATCTGGAAACAAAAGACTACTGATTATTATTTGTTATGACTACCAGTGTTTTCCTTGAATAATTAAGGGATCTTTGCTATGGTTGGAAGCATCTTATTCCACATAACAATGCACTTATCTCGGTGAATGCATTTTTCAAACCCAATAATGAATCGTTTTTGTCTACTTTAAGATTGCAGTCTGAGGCAACCGTGGGCCTAAGGCGGGGTGAGATGACCTAAGGTTGTAGGGTTCACACACAGACCCACACACACTGCTGGGTTTCCTGCCTTCATCTCCACAAGACTGATTCTAACCTTAACCATAACTACATCTTGCCTAACCTCAAAACCCCAGTCTTAATCAATATTTAACCCATATCTAAACTTTAAAACACTGAGACCTTTCTGGTGTAGATTCCACTATCTACTTGACTTCATGGAGATGGTTTTGATTTACATGTAATGTTCCATGGTATGACATTCACCATATAGATCTAGCATTTATTCATTAAGGGTGTTTCTATTGCTCAACAATGCAATAGTTCCTTCTAGGGGTGTAAGAGTACATGTATCCGTGCCAAACTGTTTCAGTACGGTGCAAGGTAGTGCACGAGTGAATTTGCGCAATTTGTGTGTGTTTACATTCTGCCACTACATGTGCAGCTACACAGAAGGCTCGGTTCTTTAATATTCATGAGGGAACTCGTAATGATTGGGGGGCAGTGTTTTCTGCCGCCTTGACAACAATTGCCTCCACCTTGACTATGTCCCTCTGAACCACGTGAACCCTCACAAAACTACGGTCGTCGCACCGCAGCCCTTACTTTCGCCTTTTGCCGGCATAGAATCTCCGCCAAACCCACCACCCTACAAAATATGAAGATTGAAACTTCATGCTGGAACTGTTCGTGCTGCGCTTTACTTTTTGAAAAGTTTTGTTTACTGTTTACAAGGAACTGATTTGTTATAATATTTCATACATTTGTTGCTTATTTGAGAATATTTTATTTAACTTATTAGTATTACCAAGCAGCACTTTTCATGTATTTTATTTTCCCATTTGTATAATGTTAAAACAAATTGTTGGTTTTGTACCGAACCATGATTTTTATGTACCGTTACACCCCTAGTTCCTTCTGTGAATAGGGGCAACCCTCCACAGATCTGAGTAATGTAGCATAGTACTTGTCTGCTTGTCTCCCTCATGATAGGTAGGTTTAATCTACACTATTGCTTTCTAGACAATGCAAAAACATCTCCATGGAGACAAAAAGGTAACGGATCCTCCACCAGAAAAGTTGCGCACTGCACCTTTAACCATAGTTATTAACTGCTTAACCAAAACCCCAGCCTTAACAATACTTAACCCAAACTTTAAACCATGGTGTTGATCTAATACTAAAAAGATTTACACCATGTTGACCAGATTTTTTTGTGAGCCAAGTCTCCATAATGTGTATATACTGTAGGTTTTAGCCCCAACAAAAAAGAGCCCTCGGTAACATGGTGGGAACATGTCAACACAACCTCCTCATTAACTGCTCTGCTATTAGATTGGATCTGCACAGTTTGTTTATTGTTCATGTAGTTATATCTAGAGTTTGTTTTGTTGACTTGGGCAGCCTCTTGTCGCTTGCACATATAGGCCTATTGTATCAGGACAAACTAGCAATTTTCACGTTACCACTAGAGGGAGTCATGAGCTATTATTCAGCTGCAAATAAAACTGGATTCAAAGATAAAAATCAGTAAATTGAGTGTGCACAGAAGTAGAGGAATAGTAAAGTAAATAGTAAAGTCTGTTGAACTTGGAAGGGTAATAGAATATGGCACACTACTCCCCCTATTGGTTATACCTTGTAATTAGTACTTTTTAAAAATGTTCCACCTTAAATCAGTAGAAAAGCACCCATTTCCAGTCAAAATATCGGTTCCCCAAAAAAGGAACCAAAACCAATGAAGCTGACAATGTGCCTAAACCACTAGAGGGAGACATGAGCACTTGTTCAGATGGATGTAACTAAATTTTTAATATGATTTTTAAAAGTAGTAACTTAAGTATGCTTTGTTTTGGAATGCATGACAGAAATAGAGGTAAAAAAAAAAAAAAAAAAAAAAACATCTGTTGAATTTGGGGTGCTAGAACATGGCACACCACTCCCCCTATTGGTGATAACGTGTAAGTGTTGCTTAAAATAAAACTAGTTCCATCATAAATCAGCAGAAAACAGAAATGCTCCAGACAGACAGCACCTGTTTCCAGTCAAAACACCACTACAATAAAAAACGTGACTGGGTGCAGTAAAAGAGGGAGATTATTTTATATTGGAGACACGTTACCCTTTCAGGACATCCGTGCCTCCGCGCCTCTTGGCTCTGCTGGCCCTCGAGTCTGCAATCGGCTGCTTGGTCCCGGGCTCAGGCTCCGGAGTATCGACCCTCAATAGCCCGACCTCCACCACTGGTTCTGCCGCCGCGTCTGCCGCTTCTGCCGCGCGTCCAAACCGCACGGCCACCAAAAGCACCGCGGCCAACTGCAGCAGCCGCGTCCGACACCACATACTCTGCCGCATTATTATCCCACTTCTTCTTTACAACTCCAGCGCAGTGAAAACACTACAGAAAAACTCCTCTCTCCCTTGCACTGAGCGGGCTCTGCAGTCTGGAGTCAAAGCTGGAAATCAAAAAAAAAAAAAAAAAAAAAAAAAAAAAACAGAACGCAAATGAAGCTTCGTCAAAGTGAAAAAAGTCGTAGAGTGTGCGTAAAACCTGTGCCTTACCTTGTCTCCAATGCAGGAGATCAGCTTAAGACCCCTTCAAGTCACTTTGGAGCAAAATAACGGTGAGCAAAAGTTGGACAAATGCGAAGAAAAAGTGGAAAAGTGACTGAAAAAGCCCTTGTATAAGATGCTATAAATTTGTGCGCATGGTAACGTGTCGTAGCGAGCCGTGCCGTGTTGACTTTGCGCAGATAAGTTGAAGGAGTCTGCAGATGAGACGGTGCTGCTGTAGCTCTCTCCCTCCTCTCCACTCTCAGCCCTTTCCTCATCCCAGCTCCGATCAACTTTCCCCGAAAACTTTTTTTTTTTCCGCCCTCTACTCTCGCGATACAATAAGTAAAGTGTGGAAAAAGCACAAGGGGAAATCTGCAGCAGAACATGCCTGATTCAAAGAGAAGGCTTAAACTAGAAACAGCAACAACATCTGAACTTTGAAAGAAGAAAATAATTATAGACCGTTTTGGTCAATGTCAGATTACATTATAGTTCATTATGTAGATGTTTTATTTAGGCCTAATGTAAACTTCTAATATGCAAAGAAAACTGTCCGAGTTTTTTTTTTTTTTTTCTTTGAATAATAGCCTAATGACAAACAAAGATCAGATTTCATATTTGTTGTTTCCAGAATATGGCATTAAATGAATACATTTTGAGAGATATGAGCAGGTGGTGCCAGCATGTAAGTCAAGGTACAAGTCAGATCTGTTGATGGACGCATATTATTAGCACTTTTTTTTTTTTTATTAAGGGCAATACAATATATACATTCCATTAGACATATCAACAACTGTTGGTTCTTCTTATTTTTTGTTAGAAATGGTTAACCTGACTTCCCCTCTCCCTTACCTCCCCTTGCCACCAACCAGCTATATACTGATATGACAAATATATACATATATATATATATATAGGTAAATTACTTTTTCCAGATCTTTTATTAGTTGAGTCCATAGTTCAGTTGTATTAGGTGCTGCATTATTAATCCGTGCTGAAGATAGTTTCATGTCAGCAATGTCCATAAAACAATGAAGCCTATGAGTAAATGACACATCATTACTCTTCCATCTTTGACCTATAATCTTCTTTGCTGCTGTGAGACCTGCCAGCCAGATTTTACAAGTCCTTTTCTGAAGAGATATTTGTGAGTCATTGTCCAAAATGTTTACTGCTGGATCCATTCAAAGATGGACTCCTATTAAGGCATTAAGGTAGTTCACCACATTCCCCCAAAGTTCCTGAACTGCTGGGCATTCCCATACAACATGAATAAAGGAACCTACAGTCCCAAGGAGACAAAATGGATAAATGTTTTGCAAAAGATAAAAAAAAATTAAAGAATAAATTAATGCAAAAGAGACACATTTCCCCAAAAACAAGCAGGTTTCAGACTTTCTACCAGAAAAGTGACATGGTGCATCTTTAATTACTGGACCTAGAAACATGAAACAAAAACACACACAAAGTTTAACATGTTCTCTGGAAGCGCAAATAATTATTTCCCATAACAGCTTTTGAATGAGCCTATCCCAAGCAAGCATGATAAGATTTAACTTTGTAAGGCTAATAACACATTTGAATGAACAAGTGAATTTTTCATAGAAAAACACAGGCCTCCCATTAGAAATTACGACATCCTTAAATTTTGAGTCTGAACACAGCCTTACACATTACAGATTTATTGTTATTACAGATGAATATGGTAAATATTTTTTCTTTCTTCTTAACTGCTGCCATAAAACTATGCTGCGATCCGTCACTGTTCTGAAATAGGACATATTTCTATGGCAACACGTGAATGGATAAAATATGATTCAGTTTGAATTGAGTTGAGTAAATATTGACCCAGTGCACAGAGAGTTTGGAGGAATTTTGTGCGATGCAGCCGTGATAGTTTTCACACAGACTGCTTCATGTCTCGAGGCACACCCAGCAAACAGACCACTCTTTCAGCTCATCTCTCTAACAACTGCAGCCACTGTCTCTCATTCTCACTGTTGTTCTGTTAATTGACTTTATTTTTTTTCTCTTTAACCTTTATTTAACCTGGAGAAAAACTGCACACACCTGTACACAACACAATCACAGAGCATTTTGACAATCAATAAAAACAAAAGGGCCTAATGTGAGAGTGTTAACTAGGGATGCACTGATCCAGCTTATACCTGCGATACCTGTCCAGAGAAGGAAAATGGCACTTATTTGTTTAAAACACAATTAACTTACTACGCAAGAGATAAACTGTTTTATGCAACTGGTATTTATGTTGGAATTATTATCGAATTAAAGGCCCAATCACAATATCAGCGTAAAAGATATTATGGAACCGATACCAGATACAGATAATTTTTCAGTACTGGCACCGATATTCAGTATACTGTATACAGTATCAGTATCGGTGCATCCCAAGTTTGTATTTGATTACCAAAACTTAGGGTTAGGTTGGATTACCCATATTAGAACCAATGAACAGGTGTAAGAGCTTTCAACAATTTATTTATTTAAATACATTATTAGGGCTGGGTATCATTAAGAAGTTGCAGATACGTTACATAGGCCACAATACGATATGCATCTCGATATATTGCACTTTCGGTTAGATACGATATATTTCAAATCGATTCAATACGGTTCAGTAAAAAATAATGTCTAAATCATGGCTTTGATACTAAAAGTCTTTGTTAAACCACTTCTTGAGCAAAGTTAATATGAAACACGCCTATTTTAATCATCAAAACAGTGAAAATGTCAAATATGTTGCATAAATGAGTTTCCTTCCACTGAACAAGCAACAAAACTGTAACGCTGTAATAAAATAATTTTGTAAAATATACCAGAAAAAAAGGCAATATATTGATACAGCAGCACATTAAATTATACAGTATATTAATATTTCAATATTTTTGCACACCCATAAACATTATTATATTTATTTTGGCCCTTTGTTATACTCATTTATTCCAGTTTGCATGTAGTTTAATTCTTTTTATCCAGGAATATATTTGAGATATGTCATTTTAATGTCAATTGGCCAACTGATAAACTGATAATAACTTATAGTAGCTCTGCATAGTACACCTTACTATGTAAATTATCTTTTATATTTTGAAAAATTCTAAATAAACCATACATGGAAAAAATGCCAACAGAAAGAATAGATTTTAAAAGATGAGGATTGAAATTTTAGCATTGTTACAACACCACTACAATCTGTAATACTCATTTACATTTGCATTTACACCTGCTTAAACCTCCACTCAACAGAAAGAAACATGAAACATACGTATTAGAATCTATGCCCATGTCTGTGGCCTTTCAGATGCTGTAGAGCTGATTAATTCTACATACAAGTCCTTCTTGATTATCTGAGTCCAGTACAGGTTCTTACTGTTTCTCAGAAGGTGGAAGGAAATGCATCTGTTTCCATTGTGTGAGGTGATTGTCTTCATGTAAAATGGCAATAGTAAACCAGCGCCTGTAATTACTAATGAGCATAACAGAGGAAAATGGTGACTCTTGGTGTGAATGTTTAATCTGGAACTACATATATACTTGTTTTACTTTATAATCTCTAATATTTTTGTTTAAATGTGCACTACGCAACTTTTCTGATGAAAGATCCATCACCTGCTTGTCTCCAAGGTTATTGACAGTAAATTATTAAATATATCATTGCAGTAAAACCAACCTTGCATTTGAAAGATTTATGTTTGAGCAGCAGCAGCGAGTTGTACTTCCTGATAGAAAGCTTGGCAGCAGCGGACTGATATATGAGAAAATAGTCCCTCAACATGTGACAATTAATGTGATGCAAGGTTAGTTTTATTTCAAACATTATTCTATTGACACAAACATTCATATCAACAGTCTGGTGTAATAATAGATTTGTTTCGGGTGTTTTGTGGAGTGGGTAAGACTATTTTTAGTGGCAGGCTAACTATGGCCATTGACATGCACTAGCCTAGCACCACCGACCTCTGCAAATACATGGACTGGATGGATTATTTCAAAAACTGTCTCCACACATATACAGCACTCGGGCTCACTAGGAAATGAGTGAGCCCTATGTTCAAAATTCCGAACTGTTCCTTTAACATCTCCATGAAAACAAGCAGGTGGCGAATCTTCCACTAGCTTACGCTGTGTAGCTTTAAGTTGTAGACCGCACATCGGCCAATCAGCGAAGAGCTGTGAAGCCATGACGTCAAACTCAAGCATCTGTCTGGGTCCCTTTTGTGGTACAGAACAACAGTAAACAGAGACGTTGAGATGGATGTAGACAATACAAACTTTGCATTTTTTATTGCACCTGTAATTCGCAAGTTCACCTGGCAGAAACGACAATGATCGTTGACAGACATGTTCACTCTCTGCTTTGTTTTGCTGTTGTGCCAGCAATTACTTGGACACCACTGAGCGTTCGGGCGCATACGTCACGACCAAATTGCAGAGATTGGTTAAATTTAAAAAGTACTCGCCTACCATCGAGCGAACGAATCCTAATGCTGCGAGGTCAGACAGTTTCCACAGAATCACAAGTGTTTTCAGTCTGAGAGAAGAACTCAACCTAAAAATGCAGGATTTGAGTGTTGAACATGTGTAAATTAAACAAAACACAACTCCAGGTATGTTTATGTTTGTGATGAGGGCATAATATTATAAATAGCAGTGTAATACGGGCCCTTTAATGCTCAGATTGCAGATGGTTGACCTGTCTGTAATTACTGGGCCTATGAAAAAACTGTCACAAAGTTCAACGTCTTAGTATATCTTCTATCATTGCACAAGGAAAATATTTGGTGCCATTATTCACCACAAAAATGCGATTGTTGTCAGTTGAAAGGACTATTTTGTGGAGCTAATCCCAATAAATAATGAGAAGTTTCAACATATTGTCAAAGATTGCAGAAACATCAGAAAAAAAACAGCTGATTTGGCGAGATTTCCTTTGATTTTTTTTTTATCTGTTAAAGCAAATTCCAGTATTTCGATGAAGCTTTTGTCTAAATTACTTTGTGTTAAGTCTTTTTAACACCAATCTCTCTTTTGAAGTTTGAAAAACAGAAACGTGATCAAACAAACATGTGCACGTGTCTGGTTGCTAGGGACGATATGAGAGAGTTTTGATCAACTATAATTAAAGGCACATGTCCTGGTCTTTTGTTTTCTACATAAATGTCCTCTGCAGCTATTTCCTGTGGACAGAAATCAAATGCCTCCCATGTGTCTGGTTTTGTCTTTGCCTTT